TATCCGTTCCCAGTAGGGCATAATGCCGCTCCAGCCAAGAGCGCCAGGGCTTCCTGCATACAGCATCATGCACTGTTGGGAAATCGGGGAGCCCGTACCCAGGAAGGCACAAACCACTCTGGACACCCGAGCATTTCAGCCTCTGATGGCAGTTCCTGTCACTGTACAATAGCTGGGCTTTCTGCTCATTCCTTCTCAACAGAGCCTGGTTTTATACACATACAAAACTAACTGCCCAGCAAATCCCTTTGCAGAAGCGTCCTGAGCACATGGGACTTAGGGACCGAGCCACACGGCCATAAAGCAGCACCTAAAACGCAGTGGTGCTCACCACTGCATAGAATTCAGTGTCCAGCTCAGAGAGGATCTTGCAAGCGCTGTGGTCGCAGAGAGAGATGCCTACAAACTAATGAGTGGTCAGAGAATGCCCATCACATGGGCCTATTTATTAGCAGGAGACGACTATAAATCTGATCAGACAAAGCCACAGACATAAGTGCTCAGAGGTGGACTAGGCATTAGTCACCAACAGAGAAAGCCATAGGGCTGGGAGCTCCAGGAGAAGGCTCACCCCACTGCATCCCCATGCCGGGCCATGGTCGGTGTATTATGGCAATTCATAGGGACAGCCCGGCAGCCCAGGCAGGTCCTGAGAGCACATCTTACTAGAGAGAGAAGGTAGGTGAGGGACTCTCTTTGGAGACGCTTCTGCTGGTGAGAGACAAGCTTAGACCAAAAGAGACAGGAAGGGACGCTCCGAATGGCTCAAACCCTCGTCCCTCCCAGCAGCAAGAGGACGTCTCTGATTCCCTGGGACCAACAGGGCCACAGCAACACTGCCTACAGCTCGCCACTAGCTGTGAGCAAGGCGGCAGGGATGCAAGATAACGCAGGAGTCAGCTTCCTGAGGACACCAGCTCTTGACCGCTTCTCAAATGTGCATTGGTTACCTTCCTTCCACACGCTGCCTGGTGCTTCACGGCCACACTTGCTGCCTTTCTGCCACAGAAGCACAGCACACCAGAACTGCAAGGGACCTCGAGAGGTCACTGAGTCCAGTCCCCTGCCCTCACGGCAAGTCCCAGCACCATCTAGACCATCCCTGATAGACGTCTATCTAATCTGCCAGTCCACACTGCGTGTGAGTCTACAGTGCACGCACCTGCCCTTCACGCAGCCCCTGTGTGAACCCAGCCAGTGTGCACAACAGCAAGGGCCCTATGGCCAGCGCTCTGTAGGTTTACCCCCAGCTTGCTGTGCACAAGCCCATGTGAAATAGCCGCCGCTATCACATGCCTTTTACAAATGTACATTCCCCTCGCCGACCAGCATGGAGATAGTTGCCAATCCCTCCGTATCCCACCACAGGGGCTGAAGCCAGGAGGCCGGGGTGCGGTTTCCATCGGATCCAGGCTGTACAGTTTGGTTTGATGGTTCTCAGCACTGACACTCCTCAAATTCTTCCTGCACCCCCGTGTCCTCCCTCTTCCAAAGTAGGGTTAGATGCTGCTTTCTCCAGTTTGCTGACTGGCTCTCATTGCTCCGGGGCTCCTCCACAGGAAGGATGCATGAGACACAGCAAAACAGCCTTGTTTTGGGGTCCCATGCAGTGCTGCCCTTAGTGTTATTCTTCCGGGAGTCAGTTCCACACCATGAGCCTTGTTTTGCTACCTCCCCCCCAAGTGGAACCCACAGGAAAGCCCATGAGAGGAACTGTTTGTACCCAGCACAACACCAACACCTGGAGCAGCCTCTCTGGATGCAGTGAGCAAACTGTGCTTCACGGCCCTGGGCCGGAGGGGCAGGGCGACTGCACACCAGAGATTCCAGCGCCTCCTTTCCAAGCGAGCGGAGCCCCTGGAGACGCCCTAGCTGTAGGCCCAGGCTGAAGCTGGTCAGTTGGGTGCAGTTCTTGTACCCATGCACTCTCCGGCCAGCTGTCAGCATCACTCAGACACCTCCGTCTTTGTGGGCGCCGCTTCCCACCCTTTGTCTCACAAAGCTCAACAGCATCTAGCATGTCCCCTCTGCAGTGGCAACCTGGACCCCCAGAAGGCCAAGGAAGCCATGCCAGGAGAGAGAGGTTACCCCACTAGTGGGGGCGTGAACCCGGACATCTCCTCATCTCAGCAGGTCCGATTTGCTGCATGGTTGCATTGCCCTGCACTGCTGTAATTAATTCACCCCTCTGCAAGCAACACCGGAAACAGGCTTCACGCCCATCACCAGCACAGCCTGCCGAAATAACCACTTATTTTGACTAGAGCAAATTTTCAAAGGGGGTTTCTGAACATAGGAACCATGGCCAGAGCCACAAAAGGAACTGGACACTCAAACACCTCGTTAGGCGCCCAAGCACAGACCACTGGCCATCCCAACCCACGGCTCAGCTGCTACCGCCTCCTGCGGGTGCCTGCGCTTCTGCTACTGGCCCATACAAGACCACACCAGCCCTGATGCCGCCTGGTACCTCGCGCTTCCCCTCGCCCCGGGGGGTTTCACACTTGGTGTATTTCTTCCTGCCCATGACAGCGGGCTGGAAACAGGCCTCCCCTCCCAGCTGAGCTTCCCACCGCCAGCCCCGGGTGAGAGCTGGTCCACTGCCTAATAGTCAGTACTTCTGGGGCAGCGACTTGAAGGCACTTCCCCCTTGCTCGCTGGGGAGCACCCTGACCGCTGGACAACACGCGCGCTCTCTCTCGGGCGACGCAGTCACGCGCGCTCAGGCGACGCAGTCACGCTCGCTCTCTCTCTCTCTCGTGCTCGCGCTCTCAGGTGACGCAGTCACGCTCGCTCTCTCTCGTGCACGTGCTCTCAGGCAACGCAGTCATGCTCGCTCTCTCTCGCTCTCACCCGCTCTCAGGCGACGCAGTCACGCTCACTCTGGCACTTTCAGGTGATGCATTCACACTCACATGCTCGCTCTCTCTCGCGCGCCATCACGCTCACTCAGAGCAAGGGAGAGCGCTGAATTAGGCACCGCGCAGCGTCAGGAGGGAAGATTAAGCCCGGCTCCCCAGCAGCAGAGCGGCTGCATAGGTGGGATGGATTCCCTGCCCAGCCAGCAGAGCAGGCAATGGAGTGAGGTCTCTGGTCACAGGGCAGTGCCCAGGCTGTGCACTGTAAGGGGAAGGGTTTCCCCTGGTTTCTGCGAGCAAGGCTGAGCGCTCCAGGAGAGGGCTCACCCCACAGCCCTGCCCACTGCCTCGCGTTAGCAGCTCCCAACAATTCCCATTCTCAGGCACCTACTTCTCCACCCTGCACAGCGAGCCTGGCACAGCCCCTTGTAGCTTGACCTGAGCCCCTCCTCCTCCCACGGCAGCGGATTATCAGCGCGCCGACATCCCGCCGCCCATTCCCCTCGACTGCCAGCAACAAGGGGCTGGCACGTGGCTATGGAATCCCATGCCCCTCCGACAGCCGACCCCAGCCCAGAAGCCAGGCACGAACGCAGGTACCAAGGTACGGCCCTGCCAGAGCCCAGGCACAGAGCAGAGTCAATAACCAGACAAAAATCTGGGCACAGACACAGGGTCTCTCTCGCCCCTCCCATTCAGTGCGAGAAGGCCAAGGGGCAACGAACTCGACATCCGCCCCAGCCTACCAAGCGGTGGCCGACGCCTGCTGTTTGGAACCAACATGGCCTGGTTGGAAAGCTCCCCAAATGCCTCCGTTCGACTGACCTAGTTCATCCTGTCTCCACGGATGCGCCAGGAGAAAATCCCATGCCCACGAGTCACTTGATCGAGTCTTGCTCCTGCTGATTACAGCTGCACTCGGCCAATCAGAGCACAGAAAAATAGCCCGAGGCGGCCAATCGCACGAGAGTGAATGCACAGGAAGAGAACACAGCTCAAACAACTTCCTGGGCAACATTTGTGCATGTGAAATTTTCAAACACACAAGGCATTGGCAGAAAGCCTGATTTCTGACCCCGAGGCTGCCAGTCTGACACCTGGCATGAGGCTTAAAATAAGCTTTAAAGACTCTTTATAATCATTTTCGGTCTCCGTACCTTCAGAGAAGTCAACGACCAAGAGAGACACTGTCGATTTGTACGGGGGATGCCTGGTGTCTCACCAAAGTCGGCATTATCGATTGGCCATCGCACCCTAGCCAGCCTCTCCAGCTCCCATGGGCAGACTGGCCCAATGCCAGGAGCCGCTCCCAATTCTACTGCGCTTTTGCAGAAGGAGACTGCTCCATAGGGGCCAGCCTAGGCACATTCGCTTTAGAAAGAGCCGGGGCTGAGCAGTCAGGTTTGTGCCCGTTCGGCACCAGCCCTGCAAAGGGTACGGTAGAGGCAGAGGCGCGCTCGCTCCGAGACGGCTCAGGGTCATTTACGTTCTCCACACACTGCAGTAATAGGCCCAGGCAGGGATGATATTTTCAGTGCTTAACAGCAGCATTTCTCCCTAACCACTTCTGCATTTGTGAACTGTCAAACCTGGCTGCCTTCGCCGCACCCATTCCTCGGGGAAACGCCAGAACACCTTCCGTGATGCCACCGGCAGCCTAGGTCTGCAGCACTTTGGAAAAGAGCCATGAGAGACACTTTCCAGAGTACATGGGAGGTGTGCCCCTGCAGATTGGTGCATCGCACCGGTGACAAGAATGTGCTTGGCTCTAAGCACGTTCACGCGCAGTTGGGATGAGGGGAGGTGACCAGGCTTCAGACTCTTAACACAGGCCCCTCCCCCAGTGGGGTAATGACATCTGCCCACTGCTGCCCTCCATCTGCATCTTCTCCGCTCAGCCACCTATTGTCTACACCCAGCTTTGTGAACCCCTTTGTCGCGCGCACACACACCCTCCTCCACAGTAGGGCCCCTGTGTATAGAGCCTCCTCTAGGGAGGTCCACCACCTGCCATGCTTGTGCAAGGTCTGTTGCACTACTGCTGTAAATGGGATTCGGGGCAGTGCACGAGGCTGTCAGGATCACGACACACCCCGGCTATCATTTTGCACAGGTGAGGGATGTTCAAAAGGAGGTACTTACACAATCTCGTCGTTCTGGAACTCAAGCTCTCCACAAGTATCTTCAAAGTCCTCTCCGCCTCCTCTGGCCGAGCCTTCGATGGTTTTGTAGGGCACGATAACATTTCCTCGTGCGCCGGATGTCCGCAGCACTTTCACGTCCATGGTGCCAATGCTCTCGCTCACGTGCGTGACTGGCTCCTCAAAGGTGAAGATTCCTGCATGGTCGTCATCAAAGATGGTAACGGTGGCAGTGGAGGGCGACCCCAGACAGGCAAGCGTAGGGACGAGATTGGCCTTCAGAATGCCTTCATCCAGCCCCTCTGTGCTCACTTTCACATTGCTGAGGTGAACCAGGAAGTTCTCATCCTCCTCAAAGATATCGTCGTCAATGATGCCAACACGGATTTCTTTCTGTGTCTCGCCTGGCTTGAAGACCACTGTTCCCTCAGTAAACTCGTAATCAGACCCTGCGTTGGCTGTGCCATCTTCTGTTCTGAAGTCAACGTGCACAACGTGGACCAAGTCGCCACCTCGGCGGACGACGGTCAAAGCTACCGTGCCGCAGTTCTCCAGACACTGGTAGGTGCTCTGCTCGAAGTAGATCTTACTGACGGGGTCATTTTCCACCACTTCACAGTTGACCTCATGCATGCTGACAGCTTTCCGGGCCTGATCCGCGGCATGTCTCTTCAAAATGTTGCCAGCGCCCGTCATCAGCCGGGTGGCCTGAATGCGATAAAAGGCTCGGCTCTTTTGCTGCTGGCTCAGAACCTGGTAATTAGCTAGCTCAATCAGTTGTTCGATTTCTTTGTCAGGGTGCTTCTGCTTCAGCTCCTTCAGGATTCTAGCCATTTCCCTCCGGGCTTCCTCGTCATCTTGGTCCTTCTCTTCCGCCTCCAGAACCAGCGTGCCATCTAAGAAGTTCTCCACATGGGAGTTAACCACTTTGCCGTCCATTTCAATGTCAGCTTTGGATGACGGTCTGTCGCCCTCATGCTCAATGATCATGCCACGCTGTTTGCCAGCCCTGTACTTCTTGTAGACATACTTGTAAAATAAAAGCCTTCGGTCTGCCACCCAGGCAAACACCACACAAATGGGAAAGAAGAAGAAAGTGAGCAAGCTCTCCCAGACCTCCACAACCCCAGGTGATATGACAGATAAAATAAGGTAAAGCCAAGTGTAGGCAAAGATGCTCCATGCTGCCGTCACAAAAAACACTCGCAGGTGCTTAATCTTCCTTATTTCTCCATCCGGCACCACATAGACACAGATCGCGATTATGATGAACATGTTAAAGGCAGCACTTCCCACGATGGTGCTCGGGCCCAGATCCCCTGCATGGAAGCCATGGCCGCATACTTCAATAACAGAAAGCAGGATCTCAGGGGCTGACGAACCCAACGCCATCAGGGTTAGGTTGGACACAGTCTCGTTCCAAATCCTCACTGTGGTTTTGCTGGTCTCACCATTGGGCTTCTTGATGGTAATCTCCCTCTCTTGGGACGTGATGACTTCTATAGAGGACATGAAGCGGTCAGCTATGATGGAGACACCTAGGAACATGTACACCATGGCTACAAAATAGACAGTAGCTCTCGCAATTTTATCGCCAAATGACGGGTCTTGGGGCTCCCAGATAGGTAAAATGACACCTTTTTTGCAAGTATATGTGCCAGTACAATCTGTAGCATTGTTTGGCTCTTCTTCTTCAGTCGGACTTTCTGCATAGGCTTTGTCCACATGGCAGAGCAAGAGGGTCACAATGCTTAAAAGGTGAAAGCCTTCAGGAAAAGCAGGTGAATGACTTAACCGCAACATGATAGCTCTGTGTGTCCAGCTCCCAAACGTCTTCCTACCTGCAGGCACAAAGGAAAACAGCATTAATCTATTATTCTATTGATATCTTATGCATTAAATTTGCAAAATCTACATTGAGTTAGTTGTTTTGATAAACAAGTGCATCTACAAGTCCAAACGGTTATAACTGAATCCCAACACTTGCAGATTCACCGTGCACAAGTGATTTACAAAAGGAGAATTACTAGAACAGTAGGATGAAGCTAGCTTCTGAACCTACGTACATGTTGGTGGCTATTGCCATTTCTGAAGCAATTCTCTCTTGCTGTTGTGCTGTGATGTGATGTGCCTCATCTTCCATCTTGTGTAGGCACAGCACGGCACAGCACAGCACAGCGGAAACATTTCTATTTGCAAAAGTAGGATCAAATAGCTTCTCGAAATTTTGACCAGCTCGGTCCAATATTATTTACTCCTGCAAAATATACAAGTGAAGCCTAGAGAGATTGCCACCGGGATCATATTCCTCCCAGGATTCAATTCCACAAGCAAAATGAAGTCGACATTAAGGTGGTTCCACTGACCAATTGAATTAGACCCTGAAGTTGCAGGTTTAAACTCAACTCTGCTCCTCAGGAATACACCTTCTGACAGTCTTGAATGATACTGAGGAAATCACATATGAGGGTAACAAAACTGAGCCACACTTGGCCTCATCTGGTGAAGTAGGATTTACCCACAAAAGCTGATGCCCTAACAGACCTGTTCATCTCTAAGGTGCCACAGGACCCCTTGTTGTTTTTAAAGTTATTCAGGTTCCTGGGGATTGGAGGAGACGACTGTGAGAGGTACGGGGAGACTTGAGCAAGCAAGGCAAAGAGGTAGCAGAAGGCAGAATGCGCTCAGGGCTGTCAATTGTACATGTGTAGGGCTGGAAGGGCCCAGGCGAGTCCAGCCCCCAGCTCCGAGGCCAGACCAAGTAATCCTAGCCCTGTTTGTGTAACCTGCTCTTCCAAGCCTCCGATACCACCTCCCTAGGCAGTGCAGCCTGGAAGTCGTCATTTCAGCTGTGCATACCCTGGCTTCTTCTGAATCCCTGCAGCCACTCGGCAAAGAACCCTGGAAGCCACAATGACACGGGTGGAGCCCGCTGCGCCGTTTGCGGCATCAGCCAACAAAGATGCACGGCGATCTAAGGCTGAAATGGAAAATACGGGAACCGTTCTAACGCCACTCTACACACAGGCACAATCGTCTCCCTGGAATGCTGCATTTGCGTCTGGTGCCCAGTTTGGAAAGGGAAGTAGCAGAAACAGTGGGCTCTGAAATGGGTGACTGCAATGACAGTGTCAAGACTATAGAAAAACCCCACGTGGAGAGAGGGACCAAAAGGACTGGAACTGCTCCGGTTAGAAAGGACGGTGGGGCTACAAAGAGCTCCTGCTACTCTGGAAGCAGATAAAAGTCTTTGGGGCTACAAATTCAGGGAAAGTGCTGCTTTGATCCAAGTGATTTGCAGCAAGCTCTCTTCTTTTCATGCTCCACAGGAGGGGCTTATGGTTAAGCAGCCAAAATCTCCGGTAATGATGTTTCAGGCTGTTTGTAGAAAATTAGAAAAGAGTGGTCATAAAGGAGACTATAGCGCCTATTGGATTACATGCCACTTCGAAAGATGATGCTTTTCCCTTTGATTTTTTTTTCTTACCTAGCTCGACTGTTGGCTCTAAATAAATAAGAGTTGGCAATTTTGTCTCATGCTTCTTTGGGGCAGGTCAGAGAGATAAATGGGACACGTGTTAAAGGTGTTGTCATAACAGACTGATTCAGCACCAACATTGTTTACTATCAGTAGAGCCCTGCAAATTCACATATATCTGCTTTATATCCAGAGGTATCCACAACTGCAGACATCAATGCGGATATTCGCAGCTCATTTGTGCAGATACAGATGTGAACACAAGTTTTATATCCATGCATAGCTCTAACTATCGGTACATCTGGAAGGTTGTAATTTTTTAGATTATAGGCTCAAGGGAAAATATTTGGTACATAAGCAGACTATACGGTCTTTCTAATGCCTAGTCTACCGTGCGCGGTCTATCTAAGCTACACAACTCCAGCTATACGACTAACGCAGCTGAAGTCGATGTACTTAGATCAGCTTACTTCCTGCAGCGTCTTCACTGTCAGACACCAGCTGACAGTCTCCCGCCAGCTCCCCCAAAGCGAGACGTGTAGGTGGCATGCCGAGGCAATGGGAGCACGCTCAGCTATTCATTCACATCTGTACTAGAGGGGAACCGATCTGTGGGAGCTCTATCGCTGCCTGTCGAGCGGGACGACATGCCCTTAGTCAGTTTCTCACTGCAGGAGCAGTTGATTCTACATAACGGACAAAACATTGGTAATATTAAAATGTGTTTATTTTAGTAGATGTGGACATGTTTACACACAGGGGGCAGGGTGTCAGTACATGCAGGGAGCCAGCTTAAAAGCCAGCTCCCCATGCATAGCGCCTCCCCCTTCTCCCCCCCCCGGGGGCGGGGGCGCGCACCTCCCCACTGCTGCCGCTGATGCAGAGGCAGCAGGGAAGGGGGGAATGCGTGTAACCATGCGGGTTAACTGACGAGCCCAGGCTCTGTTAACCATTTACATTGTCACATCCCTACAAAGCATCCACCTGCCTTCAGCCGGCTGATTCTCTCTTTGTGGCCAATCAGACATTTGCACAGCCACAATGATTCACATTGTTCTGCTAAGAAGCAACCAGTCACTGTGAAATCCCCTTGGCATGAAGAGCATGCAGGTGGCTGCAGTGCAGTGGTGGGCAACCTGCAGTCACATGCAACCCTCTGCGGCCTAGGGACCCCCTCTCTGTCCCTCCTTCCCCTCACGCACTGGGGCCCCGCAGCCCTGCCCTTCCCACTCCCCCTCCCTCCCAGCACAACGGATCCGCTGAATCACGCTCCTCCCCCGCCCTCCCTCCCAGGGCTGGAATGCTGCCAATCAGCTGCTCTACAGCTGTTCAAGCTCTGGGCAGGAGGGGGAGGAGTAGGAAGGGTGGGGCTCCAGTGCCCCAGTGTGCAAGAGGTGCCTGAGGGAGGGCAACAGGCAGGGATTTTTGCGGGGCTGCAGGTGGAGCTCCAGTGAGGTGAAGGAGGCCACTCAAGCGGCCCACTCTCTATTCGGGCTGCCCATCACTGCTGGAGGGAGAACAGAAAGGCTTTGGGGCACTGGTTTGGGTTACACAGAACAGGAGAGTCTCATGAAGGGATGTGAATGGCTACAGCTAACCACCCGCCCCTGCTTATACCACGTTTAACCGGTTACTGATCCAAGGGGGTTTTACATTCCTAGTCTCACATTTTGGACCAGCTCCACAACCTTAAGAGGAGGCAGGCATAAGCAGCTTTAGCAAATAAAGTTCTACTACAGCAGATTAATGAAAATCCCTCCAACTAGCAAGCTAGTCCATGGAGCATTTCAGTGCTGGGTTGGGTTTTTAAAATCCTACTTCAGTAGACCGCTGCAGAGCACACATCGGAACCATCTTTCACAAGTTCTAATCGGCTGTTCATGTACAAGAGCGATCTTTCATTTTTCTAGAGATGGCTGCCAATAAAGATTGTGGAGCATCCCTGTAGAATCCAGGTGGATGCTTTGAAAAATGACAGGTATCAAAATGAATGTTACATTTCAGGATTTCCTTCCCAGGAATGGAAACCAAGATTTGCACTATTGTCTGTAGCCATGAGACTGCCAGGCTCCACAGGATTCACACTCCCCTACATAAAGGGGCCCCAAGCCCAGTTTAGGACCTTGGCTGCTATTGCCATGCAAATAATACATCCAATGTTGATGCTGTGTGGCAGAGTGCACAGGATGGAGGGAGAGGATCCATTGTGTCCCAGGAGCTCTTTTGGTTCCAATCTAAACTAGACTCTAGAATTTTTGTTCCAGCATCAAAACCCCCTCCCCACACCCCCAACTTTTTAGCCAGTTCAGAAGCTCAGATCTACATTGTCGGTATCTGCATTCTGATAGCGCTAGTGTAGCCAGGTGAATCAATCAGGCATGCATAGCGGAGTGCCTGTCTCACCAGTCCAGAGCAGAATGTGCTACAAGTGTTACAGGGAACAGGCCTGCCTTCCTCTTCCCACGCCCCCCCACTCCCCCGGGGTCAGAGGCCAGCACTGCCCTTTTCCACACCAAGGGCACTTTTAAATACAAAAGGTTAATCTCCAGACCTGTGCTTTGACTGGGATCTGCACGGAACCAGCCATGTTTTACGGGACGTGATTTGCTGGGGATACACCAGCCAGCAGCCTGTGCTCCCCTCACCAGAGGCCTGAGTGCTCGTATGATGATCCTTTGGGATCCCCAGGCACCAATACCCATTCTCGGGCTGCACGCGCCCCACGTGCACTGCAGGGCGCCTCTATGCCTCCAGAGTGGGAGCCACATGCCAACGCAGTCCCACTCAAGACACAAAGTAAGTTCTTCCTTGCTCCCCAGTCAGTCACTCTCTGGACCCAGAGGGCCCAGCTCCGCCACAGGGACCGTCTTTTGTGCAGCACCTAGCCCATGCCCGGGGATCCCCGCCCGGTGTGACTGCCGTGCAAACAGCAGCAGTAACAGACTCAGCCTCAGGGGCGGAGGGTAACACATGGTTCATTCTCCTCTGCTGATCTCCTTTGCAGGAGGGCTGGGAGACATGCGGCACGATGGATGGGCGTCATGCAGCAGCAGTTCCGAGCAGCAGAAGAGGACGACTGGACAAGCTGGCCCCATGTGGATGGGGCTGTGGTTAGAAGACGAGGAATAGTCTCGGGGGGAGGGAGGGTTCTTACGCTAGAGTTCAAGTTCTCAGCCACACAGAGAACGTCATTGGTCTGGACAGAAAGCTGCTCGAGTGCACTTCCTGACGGTGCGCTCAATACGAACGCCCCAGTTACACAGATTGTATCTGGACCCACCTCAACCTTGGATCCTCCCCACTTGTTCATGCAGACACGCTTCTCACTTCCCTGGGGGGAGGGAGGGTTCTTACGCTAGAGTT